TACCAGTTGGCCGAAAGTCGACAGAGTACCAGTTGGCCGAAAGTCGTCAGAGTACCAGTCGGCCGAAGTCGTCAGAGTACCAGTTGGCCGAAAGTCGTCAGAGTACCAGTTGGCCGAAAGTCGTCAGAGTACCAGTTGGCCGAGTGGCCTAAGCTAACGCCGATTATATAGGCTGTTAAATCGAGATTCAATCAGTCCCAGCGAGGAGCTGAAAAAAGCAGAAAAACGGACGCGACATATTTCTTATTTGTCAAGAACTGACAAAAGAAATTCAGAGAGGCCTACCGAGAAATTCAGGTGTCGATTGAGTTGTCAAGCGCAAGCCAGCTACAGACGTTTTGTGGAAGTGATAGAAGCAATCATGGAACAATTTCTCTGCGTCTGGCCGATGGTTTGATAATCCGAAAACCGGTGACCGCCCAATCTCCAAAAAATCGTCAAAAAACTGTAAGACTCATCTAGTTTTTATAAACTTTTTTGTGCAATAAAATTACATACGGTGTCTTATTGTGTATCCCAACTCAAAGCAAGCTACAAGTGGTAATTTTCCCGATACCACAAAGTTTTGGGTAATTGTGAACGGATTGAAAATCCAAGAAATCGGATAATAGACAAGGGGTACTAGACTAGTTTTTTGGGGTGGTTTACGACTCGAACCTGCTGACAAAAATTTTCCGAAAAATTTTGGGAAAAAAGTAAGAAATTTCCAAAAAATCGTCAAAACGTCCCCATAATTCTGCGAAACTGTGCTGTAACATGACACCAACCTTATGGTAAGTGGTCTGGTAGCGAAATATCAGGCAAATTAAGTTGAGTTTTTTCATCCTCAGGTTTTTTCCGCGTGTGTTGTTGGAACTTAACCGATTTGCCTGATTCTCCAACCCCATTGGTAAACCTAAGGTTTACAACGACTTGATACCTGTTTGCATCCGTTCGCTTTTCAAAACATTCGTTTCGCAACGACTGACTAAGTGGTCCGGGACGGTAAAATTAGGCAAGTTAAGTTGTTGTCTTTCATCCTCAGGTTTGCTCCGCGTGTGTTGTTGGTTTTCAACCGACTTGCTTAATTCCCAAACCTCTTGGTAATTCGTCGAGAAACGATCAAGAAACGATACAGTTTTACAGAAGGCTGCATCATATAAAGCTGGCATAAACGTTGAACCTGAGGAAACAGAGCTTGACAATGTTGCAGAATCGTTAAGTACGATCGTAACAACACAACCACAAGATTCACATGAAGCAGATGCGCGCTCTAAGGTGTCGCGGTACAGTAGTCGACATCATCAAAACATGGTATGAGTTAGAGTCGTATGGTGCGTTCAAGCAAGTAGATGCCCGTTCCGCCGCAGACAAGCGTGCTTTGTCGATCCTGAAAACTGAAACCGTTCACGATGGTGAGCGTTACACTGTACCGATGCTGTGGAGTGATAATGATGTTAGCTTGCCTAACAATTATTATTCTTCATTAGCCCAATTAAAGTCGTTAGAGAAAAGATTAGATAGAGATCCGTTACTTCGCGAGAAGTATACCGAAACAATCAGAGAAGATATAAGTAAAGGATATGTCATAACCGTCAACCCGCACGATCCCAGCTCACGAGCCGAACGTGAGTGGTATCTACCACACCATCCGGTTTTGAACCCGAACAAACCCGGCAAGGTGCGCCGTGTGCTCAATGGAGCATTCAAATTTCATGGCACTTCCTTAAATAGATCTCTCTTGGTTGGCCCGGATCTCCTTCAAAATCTTATTTTTGTACTGTTGAGGTTCCGTCAACACAAGTACGCCGTCTCAGCTGACATAGAAGGTATGTTCTTACAAGTTGGAGTACTTGCGCGAGATCAACCGTCTCTCCGTTTTTTGTGGCGGGAGGACCCCACTTCAAGTGTGGTGGTTCACCAATACACCCGTCATATTTTTGGCGCTCGTGATTCGCCAACTTGTGCGAATTTCGCGCTACAAAAAACTGCTTCTGATAATCAAGCTGAATACCCCGAAGCCGCTTCAGCCGTTGTCCAGAAGTTTTACATGGACGACTATCTTGACTCGTTCGAAAATACCGCTGACGCTCTTAGCCTAAGTAAAGACTTAGTCGCAATGCTCAAATTCGGTGGGTTTAACCTGACAAAGTTTGTTAGCAATGTACCCGAAGTTACAACCGCTCTTAATCCGGACAACCGTGAGTCCAACCCGTCAGTTAAGGATATTTGTAAGAGTCCAGACCAATCGTCGCATGTTCTTGGTCTCAGGTGGGATCATGTAAAAGATACCCTAGTAGTAAGTAGAGGTGTTGATCGACCACTAGATAAAGCAATTACTCAACGCACCGTGTTGAGTTTTGTTTCCTCAGTTTTTGATCCAATAGGACTGGTAGCTCCATATACTGTGAAAGCGCGCCTTTTACTAAAAGACATATGGAGAATCAGTGGTCAAAAGTGGGATGATGATCTCCCAGAGGAAATTAAACAACAATTTCTAGATTGGCACTCAGGACTTCCACTATTAGGTACTCTGACGATACCTCGTAGCTACTTTACCGAACCGTTCGACCGCTGTGAACTTCACACGTTCGGTGATAGTTCGCAGGACGTTTTTTGCGCCGTATCGTTTCTCCGAGCCCGACTTGCTAAATCGCAAAAGACCGAGTTAGCTTTTGTATTTGGGAAAGCCCGTGTAGCGCCTATGAAGATGCTCTCCATTCCCAAGTTAGAGCTTCAGGCTGCTCTGCTTGCGACTCGACTCAAAGAAGAGTTTTTGAAAGCGCTTACTTTCAAAGTAAGCAATGTATTCATGTGGACTGATTCTACCACCGTTCTCCAGTGGCTTAACTCGTGCAACAAACTTCCTGTGTTTGTTGGAAACCGCACTGGTGAAATCTTGGAGTCCACCACCATTGATCAATGGAATCATGTACTCAGTGGTGATAACCCAGCTGATACCGGCACACGAGGGATTTCTTCGGAAGCCCTCAAGGATAGCAGCTGGGTTAGAGGCCCTAGTATATTGAGGACATGTGATTGGCCATTCAAGCCGAACACTGATGTCATCAAAAAGATCCAATTAAAAGGCCCACTCTGTGACATTGATACATGCCTTGAGACTGCATCTACGTTTTTTGTTGATGCTTCATCTGAGAAAGCACCGTCGATCCGTCTGTTTAAAAATTGGGATAAATTCAGCTCAATTGTAAAGTACAAACGTGTTTTAGCGTTTATGCTTCGTGTGCTACCATCGCATAAACACTTCCGTACAAAAACGCTTGAAATAACCGACCCGTCCGAGTTAGATATTGCCGAGCAGAAGCTCATTTATCTCGCTCAGTCCGAATCATTTCCTGCCGAAGTGAAAATACTTCAGTCCGATAAATGGATCACAAAGAAAAGTCGGATTGCTAAATATTCTCCGTTCATCGGCCCAGCTGGCATCCTGCGTTCAACTGGACGTATCAGTCGTCTTGTTGATACCGACTTTGATAGCAAACATCCAATAATACTGGATGGTCGACACCGAGTTGCTCATATGTTGATTAGGCATATGCACTTTCAACGTGCACATCAGGGGTTGGATTACATGCGTGCTGTAGTTCAGTTGAAATACATTGTTCTGAAGTTGCGCTGGTTACTTGGGAACATCGAAAATACTTGCATAACATGCCGTAAGCGCAAAGTAAAAACAGTTGTGCCCATTATGTCTGACCTACCGATTGAAAGACTGGGTTACAAGCAGCCTCCCTTCTCCAACACAGGTGTTGATTACTTTGGCCCGTTTCAAGTGCCAATACGCCGAAGTACCGAAAAGAGATGGGGTTTCCTATTTACCTGCCTCACGACTCGAGCAGTTCACATCGAGTTGGTTCCATCTCTCGATACTAGTTCCTGCGTCATGGGCGTAGAGCGATTTATTGCAAGGCGAGGTACCCCCAAAACCATTCTTTCTGACAATGGCACGAATTTTGTTGGTGCTCAAAAGGAGCTCCTATCCTGTGTCCAAAATTGGAACAAAGTCGCCCCGGCCGTTTTCGTCCACAAAGGCATTAAGTGGAAGTTTAACCCGCCCAGTGCCCCTCATCACGGTGGCGCCTGGGAGCGGCTAGTGAGAAGTGTTAAGCGAGTGTTGTACGACATATTAGGCAACAGGAGATTAACTGAGGAAGTTCTAGGAACAACGCTCTGCCTAGTTGAACAATTACTTATAGCAAGACCGATCACTCCGGTCAGTTCCGATCCGCACGACCTAGAGGCACTCACCCCGAATCACTTCATTCTCGGTCACAGCGCAGCTAGCTTCCCGTCGTTAAGTTTCGAAGATAACTTTGATCATAAAAAGCGTTACGCCAGAGCACAATCGTACGCTAACGCAGTTTGGTCACGCTGGCTGCGTGAATATGTACCATCTCTCAACAAGAGAGCAAAGTGGCATAATGATTCGGATGTCACACTGAAAACCGGCGACTTGGTTTGGGTAGTCGAACCCGACAGCCCACGTGGGCATTACCCACTCGCCCGTATTGCTAAACTACACTACGGCAAAGACGGATGCGCGCGATCCGCCGACATAAAGACCGTTACGAGCGAACTGACCCGCCCGACCGTAAAGCTCGCTCCCGTTCTTCCTTGTTTAGGGGCGGAGGATGTTGCAGCGCAAATATAAAACAATAGTACAAATGCATATAAACGTAAATGTGCGAAAGTATAAATGCATATAAATGTAAATGCATACAGTGACAGTAGCCAAGCGTATACATGGTGCGTCCCGGCGGGTTCGGCGCCGGTTCGAATCCCGACTAGGTCATTTCCTTTCTAGAACTCGAATGTGCACCGAACTTGATGGGATGCTCCGTAACCAGGTTCGGTCCCCCCAAAACCCATTTTAACCGTCTTTTCGCTCTAATTTGGTTCAGCCTTGGTTAAGGCTGACCTTTAAAAAGAGCAATTTGTCTCAAGGACAAATACTGGCCATTTTTGCAGCTTGCTTTGAGTTATGCAGTTTATTGGGGCCGATGTTACCGATAACAATAAAAAAGTTTTGTTATGAAATCTCATTGTTACCGAGTTATTTTGCCGATAAAATGCTCGAATTAAATTGTTTGAAATTCGATATTTTTACAATCCGTGGAGATTGAGCGCACACAAAGGAAATTTTTAGATTTTCAGATCGATTGTTCTCATACAAGCATTTGACTTTTCTACGTTCCCACTGAATCTTTTTTTGTTTTTACAGGACTAAAATTTTTATGCAATTTATCAATTTTATTTTATCGTGACTTTTTCGTAAAGTTAAAATTGTTAATTGATCTTTACCTGTCAATTTCTGTTTGAGTTTATGCTTTTATGCGTTTGACTGGATCTTAAACAGTGAAAAAATTACCTGTTTTGGAAAAAAAGCTGCTACTTTGAAGTTTTGCCTCATCTCAATTTCGTCGGGATTAAAGTTTCTGACAGAAACTTCCGTTGCAGATTGCAGTTTTTCCAATCATCAGTCTTCGTCTACATGAAGTTTTCTTGTATCAAGTTTTGTTCAAATCTCGTTTCTCTAACGCAAGTTTTTGACAAAATTGAAAGTACTCTAAAATTAGATTCTTAGCTATTTGCAACGCTCGATGATGAAATTTGATAGTTCTACAAATGCAGTTTCTAAGATATTGGAAAATTTTTTGAAACACAGTGACAACAAATTAACCCAGGGTGTGTTTTAGGGAGAACCCTTTCATACCTTGTGGGCCCAAAATCAATTACAGTTTGGATCTTACGTTATTGTCCGCTTCGCATCTTCTCATGCCCCAAAATTTTCTTCTCTTGCGCAACTCTCTTTTATTTTGCGACAACATCATATCTCTGCAATAAATCGTAGCTTAGGATCTCTCTTGCTTTTCTGACTAATCTAACTTCTAAATATAGATACCTATCAAAAATATTTGGCCAATAAAGAACCCAGTTGTTTATCGGGTAGGCGGTGCTACAGTGTGGTTTGGCCAAAACGAAAAAGTTCCTGCAGATTTGAATCCCAACGAGCTGAGTTATAGTAGAGTGATACCACTGGTATACCAAATGACAAACTAGGTTTAGAAGAAAGAAAACTGCCATTAAATAAAGATTGTATATTTTCCATCCAACTATAAAACTTTCAAGACGTCCAATTTACTTCGAACAGAAAAACATATGACAGGTATCTAAGAATTAATTGAAAACCAATTTAAACTAGCTAAAAACCCAATTCACAGCATGATCGTAATGCTTCGTGGCGGATTTGCGATTAAGCATTGATAAAAATTGGATTGAACAAATAATTGAACAACGCATGTTTCTGTTACAAAAACACGAGTACCGAAGTAAGAATAAAAATGATTGGACATGGTAGGATCTTAAACAGTCAAAAAAACACCTGTTCGGAAAAAAAAGCTGCTACTTTGAACTTTTGTCTTATCTCAATTTCGATGTTTCACAAACGGCAAAAATACAGATAATAGGTAAAGCTATTCACTGTTGCACGTTTACTGAAGCGAAAATGAACATTGCATTCAGTAGAAAAGAAGAAAAATACATAAAAGTTCAGGGCAGATCTACATTTTTCTCGAGAGAGGTGGGTTTTTTTTTAAAAAAAATCCATAAATATGTGGCGATTTTTTTAGGTCGAACAAATTGATTTTCTGAGCTCTCCCAAAGCACTAGCAAGAACCTGTTTTGGCCAAAATTGCTCCGCCGCAGGCGAAGTTTTGAAAAAAAAGAGGCCAAAAAAAGCGTTTTTAGGAAGACTTTGGAAATGTTTGAACACAAAAATGCGTTTTTCTGGCGTGTGCTCCCCCCTCAAAAATAGTATATATTTGCACCAAAAGCGCCTGTAGCAAATTTTTAGGCAAAAAAGGATGTCTCAAAGTAGTATGAAGTGGAACCCTTTAGGTCGACAGGGTGTAGGAGGAAGCGTCCGTCCCAATCCCCAGCCCCTCCGCCCCTCCCCTAAATCCACCTCTTCACAGATTAGATAAGTAAAAGGTCCTTTGAAATAATTGTGACTAAATGACAAAGAAAAAGCTTTTATTTGGAAGATCAACATTTTTCTAATTTTATCTATTTCAGAAATTTTTAGTAACTCTCATAAAAGCAGGTTTAATTAAAACGGAAAAGTAATCTGTATTTAGGTCACCAATTTTCGGCAGTCCAAAAAACTTCAACCTTTTTAATAAACTTTTCGGTGTCACAATATCGTAACTTGTTTTTGAGGAAAAGTTCGCCCATCAATAAGACGTAATTATAGTCGAAACTGACCAAAACCTGTTCAAAAACGTCCTTTTTGGCAAGTTTGCTTAAAAAATGTTCGCGTGCGGTTTTAAAAACTTATATATATAAAAAAATTCTTTTAGTGCTCCATGAGAGCTCACAGAAGACATATGGTCGACCTTAGAAAAAGTTATGGCTTTTCTTCAAATCTGCATCCCACGCTCGAGTAAATGACTGATCGATCCGACTCAAAATACTCCCTGGTGTGTACAAGCGATGTTTCTAATTGTCCGGGTGCCATCTAGCTCAGAAGTTTAGCTTGATATTAAATGAATCATTTTAAAATATTATTTTCAAACTGTTTATAATTCCGTGAAATGCATGAATAACCTAAGTTTTGATTTGAAACTAAAACGGAAAATTGAACCTGTTGATGGCCATGCAATCCAAACTCAAAATTTAAACGAACTAGCGTCTTCAGGGCACGAGAGAAAACAACCTGAAATAAGATGAATTTTGTTACTCGTTTAATTGATTTATTTAACTCATTTTTGTTTGATTTTTTGCACCATTGGTCGCAAGTGAAACTTGGTAGCATTTTAAAGAGCAACAAATCGCCTCAGGGAAATAAAGCGAGTAAATAATTAAAGCTATTGAGAGTTATCAACTCACAGCCACCAAATGGCCATGCTTTAGCGAGAGTGGGTTATGATATAGAATTTTTCGCGGAACTACTAAGCAATGAAAAAACCTGATTCAATTGATTTGAGACGAACTGCCGCGTTCTATTGCTTGTGAAATGCGGTATTTTGGCTTGAACTAGTTGTCGCCATTCCGACTTTTGATTAGATCTATCTTATAGCAAAAGAAACAGAAAGTTGATTTCATAGCAAACCAACATAATACAGTTCACGCAAAATTAATAAACAGAAGTAAAAAGACTCCTACAACGGGTATGAGCAACCCTAACAAAATGAATTATCTCACATTTGTCTACAAAACCTATAGTTTATTCCAATAAGAGAGAGATAGCTCTTTATAGGGAAAACACCGGATGGTATGCATAGAATGCATAGTAATGGTTAGATATCGTGAACCCAGCGCAGGTTTGATGTTGGCTTTTTGGCTAGTTAATTGTTTTCAATCTGCTGAATTCTAATCCTTTAATCAAAAATTTAATCAAAAATCCTGTTTAATCAAAAATCCTAAGTAAGAGATTTTATTCGACTATAAATTAAATGAGTTTGTTGCAACAGATTCTGCTTGACTCTTGGATGATTCGATTTCTAAAAGTACTCACAAATTATGAAAAGGTTTGAATTTGATGCCTAATTCAATCAGTGCTTCCCACGCATACCCCAATCACTTGTCCTCATCCTCCTCGTCCAGATCGCCGAAAAATGAAAAACCTAATTTTTACGAATGAAAAGGGCTGAATGAAAACCAAATTTAAAGGGTTTTCAAAGTCAGAAATATGTGCAGGTCGATGCCGATTTTAATTGCTGTTTAGTTTTAGATTGATAATGGCACTGACTTTTAGTGAAGTAGATAAAATTTCCTTCTAGGCAAAACTCTGTAACTGAACAATGGCACTGTACTTCAATTTTGTTGATATTCTGGGGGCTCACTTCATAAAGACAACACGTTATGAGGGCATTGATCCACAGTTTGATTTGTTAGTCGGCCAGATAAAGAAGTTTTTTTTCGATTCGAATTGAATTTTCCAAAATCTGAAAATTGGAGTTCTGCCAAACTATCTACTTTTTCTTGCTTTCAATTATATCAATCTACATACTCGCAAAAAATGTTTTCGATGCTGTTAAAACTGGTTTCCTTAGTTTTCATGCTCAATTTCAATGCTCAGTTTTCTTGCAGTAACTGGAACGCAGAAATCAGAATTCAAAATAACTGAAATTATAACTGCGGGAAACTTGATCAAAAAAAAACATCTCGAGTTCAATTGCTATTCCCAATTGGCCAACACAATTTACTTGAGCAGATTTTTTTTCGTTCCTAATGGAAAATACGGCGGTTGGGTACGGAAACCCGGATAAAGGAATAGGAAGTTCAGGTGAACCAAGTGAGGTTTCTCAATCAACTGAACTGACAGTCCAAAAATTTCTCGTTTACGAAAAAATTTGCTTGAATACTGATACACTTCTAAAAATTTATTTAACATAAATAGAACAATAAGATGAAAAAACTTAGTTTCAGTTTGTGGAACAATAAAATGAAAGAACATAAAAACAGCGGGCAGAAATTTGAGAGCGGAAGTTTTTACCCAAGCATTTGACAAAATACGAAAAAAACTAGTCTATTTTGAATGTTGAGAGTTACGCATTGAAAAAACTGTTCAAATCCGATTTCACTAAAGGGAAAAAGCGTCTAATCTAATTTTGTGATGATGCATAATCTCGTGTGAATCTTGTAGAGCCCTCACATACTAGTTGCAATCGGAACTGAACTTTTTGGTTAATGAAGTGCCCAGAATGTTGAAAAATCCCATTTTTGAAGATCTTGTCGGTTGTTCC